GTGCAGCCATGACTCGACGGCCCGCAGTGATGATCGGCAGGTCAGTGGGGGCGAGTGACGCAGTTTCCTCCTCGTTCTTTAAATCCAGTTTCACTGCAGCCAAAACGTCACTTTAAGTCATAAAAATAGACTTAGAGGCAGCAGAGAGACGCGTTTTACTAAATGTTTACAGCTGATCGAAGCTGGACTAGGAGTCACAAAGATTGATAGAAAACAGACTTTAAAGACATGAATTGTTTCATAAAGAAAATATAATGCGCTGCTTTAAATATTAACTTTGAAAACACCGGGTGTTAAAGCGGCACGAGTTGATTTGCAGCAGAAACCTGCTCACCCAGTTTAAATTAAAGCTGATTTTTAACCTTTCTTAACTCTGATTTACCTGAGAGGAGGCTCGTCCGGTAAAGTTTGACTCCTCCGGGTGCTTTCTGTAGTGCAGAACTTTCCATGGAGCAGATTCTCACTCCTCTGGAGCTCGAGCTCGGACTTTGGCTGCTTTTTGCTCATTTTCAGCCCCGGTCATTTTCAGAGGAATGTTTTTGTGTTTGAGCAGCAGGGGTGAGAATTATAATCGCCCCAGGATTTGATTCTGAATCAAAAGCTGCAACGTGAGTTAAAAACAACAACGAAACAAGATTATGATGCCGCCCTAATCCCACCTGCAAACATCACCCTGAGCAGAGAAACTCCCCGACCTAAAGAAAAACAGTACGTAGGATCGTTCGTCCAGGTAAATGAATCACAAAAACGTTAAATCGTGTCATCTGGACCGTTTGTTTTGGGGAGAAACGTTTCATCCGAAAGACTTAGTCAGTCTGAGGCCTGTGGAGTTCACAGAAACTGGCTGTACACGTGCACAAAGACGACCATCGGTCGAAAACAACTGATCAGTGCATAAGAATCAAACGTTCTAGGCAAAGTGTCACCACACCTGACCAAACAACAACCTTTGGCCGGCTTGTCCTCAGGCTGGTTCGGTGAAGGCGGCCATTTTACCTATAACATTTGATTGTTGTGCATGCTGATTGTTTCCGACTGATGGTCTTGTTTGTGCACGTGTACAGCCAGTTTCTGTGAACTCCACAGCAGGTTGCCTTTAAACACATCAAGGAGGAGCTATTTATACACGACAGATCCTGGTGGCAGGCCTCAGACTGACGAAGTCTTTTGGATGAAAGACGAAATGTTTCTCCCAAAAAGAAACCGTCCAGATGACACGATTTAACTATTCTGTGTCTCAGACCTAAAATAAACTAAATTCTAAACTGTGGCATAAATAAAAATGTATCTATAAAAGATTATAGAAACTAACAAAAGAAGTCAAAATTCTGAGTTCAGGGACATGTGGTTCTGTGGCGATGCATCGTGTTCCAGGATTCTTCAATGTTTCCATCACTCAGTTTATTTTATTTTTTGTCTCATTA